CTTGTGACCAAGCATAATAATAATTATTGTGTATACACACGCATGTATTCCACATTGCAATATGCTTGCAAAACTTGCTCGCACCAGCACACCAAGCGTAGAACCTATGCAAAGATGGATTCGCACTTCTCCCCCGTTGTCTCGACTGTTGTCCTACTAGACTGTGGTCATGTTCTGTTTCATCATCTGCGTATAGGGTAACCATGGTAACTTAGCAAGTCTATCCACATGATTGTTCTGGGCAAGTTTCTCTGATCTTCTTCAGTGCACCTTCTGCGTAAGCAATAATACGAGTGGGGTGCTCGTACATACATATAACTTATAAGGGGTGATAGGGGTGCAGTGCACCAATCCTGCGATAGGGGTGCAGTGCACCAATCCAGCGTCTTTCCTAGCTTCACGCAAGCAGAGGTCCCTGAAACTAGTTGCTGAATAGCTACAACCAGGGAGTACTAAAAACCAAAACCAGCCAAAACCAGACGATCAACAGCAGTTTTGTAACGTGCGTCGGCGAGGCTAGGAGGCTACTACCCACAGTCAGTCAACTACAGTAACGTATCAGAACTTACTATAGCAAAGCAGGCGGCGGTAGGAAAGTAAGGTTAGTAAGCCATTGCAGTGATTACGAAATCATCCTTCTAGTACAAGTTCTAGAATAGTGGAGAAGTAAACCTAGAGCATCATTGCTATACACGTAGATGCAGTGAGCATTGCGTAACATTAACATAATGACTAAGCGAGGTATTCTAGAAGATGAGATATCTATATTATGCAATTTAGTCAGCAACATTACTCATCGGGCATATGACGTGGAAAGTCTGGAATAGTCCGGAACAACCTGACATACATGTACATGAGTCATGACTGTACCAACTAGTAACTAAAAGGAAGTGATACTAGAAGTGATGACAGCAGCATGCATGGAATCTATGATCTTCTAGAAGTGCGGTACTCCTGATGTAATCAAATCATATGTGAGGTACATGATGTAGGACTTGTCCGAAAGTAGTAACAAGAGTAATTATAAGAGTCATGCAAAGTACTAGTCATGCGTTAACTGTAAAGCAGGGATACTACAGTTTTGTTTAATACAAAATCATCGACAACAATACGGTTGTCTGATCATCGGATTGCCTCTGCACGAAACTAACGTTGAGTTACCACATATTCCAATCTGACCCCGGCCGCCCCACCCCCCCCCCCCCCCCCCCTCTCTCTCTTTCTTATGTTGACAACAATATGCAGATTGCTCTGGCGTCGCCATCAACCTTAGCCTAATGCTTAGGTAGGTTCCACGCTTATGTCCCCAGCGGACCATGTTCTGGTTAATGAACTACCAAGATTGCAAATATAATATACCGTCCGGGGACGGAGATTTCAAGGCATTATACGTCACCTTCCTCAGGCGCCAGTAACACAATGTCAATGAGCTCACGCGGGGAATGTGAGGCCAGACGCCTGTGCATGTGGCGTCCAAAACTGGCAGAACTGAAAATGCACCCATGTGCAGTCATGGCCATTACACTTTACAGTGTAGCTCTGTTTGTCCTGTGTGATTCCATGACCTACTCAAGCTATTGATTTATGGTCGCTTATACACTGTATTGCCTATTGCCAGTATTGGCGCCATTCATTTTGGATGCATCATCTCTGTGGCTGTGCACGTCGCACGTCATTGCTGGCACACGTGCATCAGTCATGTTGGTTGACGGCAACAAGGTTTATCTAATACGAGTACGAGTATAATTATTACTTTACATGGTCATGCACCTACATGTACATGTACGTCACGTCTCAGTGCGTCGACTGTACTAATACACTGTCAGATCAGTGTCAGTGTCACGGTGATGGAAAACATGATGAACGCACCAAACGACGTTACGTCCAAAGACCAGTAATATTCAGTAGCAGTTACTCTACTACATGTACTTGAGAACGGTCTTATTCACAACACCATGAAGTAAGAGTCAAAGCAAAAAGACAACCCAATTTCGGAAATAAAGAGAGATTTTGAAACAAGAGGTTGGTGCGACTTCGGCGATAGGAGGGGAAGAGTGTGTTGCTCCCTACATGCTAGCTCGCTGTTTTCCTGCCGACTTGAATTCTCACTTGACTGACTCAAAGAGAGATTTTATTTTGATATTGTTGCACAATACACTCAATCTCTTATTCACTGTACTGATGTAGACCACACTCCTCTTGTTTATGCATGTACATGTAGATGTACAGTTACGTAACTTGCGGCCATGCATTTTTTGTTCATCGCATTGAAGTGACCATGTATACGTACCAGTCGGTACGTGTGTTGTTGTTTACAAGATTTAGAAGGTCTGAATGGGGCTAGAAACCGGCAGGATTCACTTGCTTTTGATTCTTGAAGCAGTGAATTGCTCGCTCAGTATTCCTTGTCGCCAGTGTCCACAGAATCACCCTCACGAACATTGTACATAGTACATGTATCACGTGATCACATAATGCATGCCATACATTGTACAATGATTATGTAAATTTTTTTAGTTAGTAAGTTCCTCGAGTCTTTATTCAGAGTATCTGTCACTCCCATCCACAGGTTGTGTGATCAATCAGTACTGATTATAATACACTGTACTCCGATAGGGTTTCGGTTCTGTTTTCCGTATAATTATTACTCTGTTTATCTACTTATCTATTTTCTTTTGTACCTATAATAATTATGTACATGTACATGTACATGTGTACTTCAGAAGTACATGTATGTACAGGTACTAGGTATGCTCTTGTCACTTGTTCATGTACCATGATGTACTGAGTCTGTAGTTTGTATTGCCAGTCGGCTTGCAGTTGCTAGTTTTAGGTGATGAACGTTAGCACAGCTCCAGAAAGTGCAACAACTAGGCACAAAACTGACAGAGTACTGAGACATTCGACGTCCTGACACCTAGCTTCAACACATTTCCGTAGCGCTAACCGACAGCCTTCCAACTAACTTGGAAGGTTCAAGGTTATGGAAAGACCAAAGAGGGGAAGGCAAGCGCAACGAAAACGAGCACAAGCTACAGTCCCAACGGAACAAAGAATGTCGATTGTCACTGGACGATGACGAGACCAGTAGGCGATTTTGACAAAGCGGTCTAACTACAATTCGAAGCAGCAAAGCAGCACACCACCCAACTTGGGTGGGTCAAAAATATCAAAGATAAGTTAAGAAGGGGGAAGCTTTGCGAGAACGAATTGTACAAGCCGAAATCTAAACTCCTACAGGACTCGTACTCCTCATGACATTGTGATGGACTAGTTGACTAGTACAAAACAAGTTGCTTCACACGACGTACGTTTCGCCGTATGGTTCGTGACGGCTCATCACTGACATCAGGTGTGCAATTTGAAACCAGGGAGTAGTAGAGGTATTGTACTACTCCCTGTTTGAAACTCGGGTATTGAGCCAGTCACGAACCATACGGCGAAACGTACGTCGTGCCGAAATCTAAACTCCTACAGTACTCCTCATGCATGACATTGTGATGGACTAGTTGACTACAAAACAAGTTGTTTCACACGACGTACGTTTCGCCGTATGGTTCGTGACGGCTCATCAGGTGTGCAATTTGAAACTCGGGTATTGAGCCAGTCACGAACCATACGGCGAAACGTACGTCGTGCCGAAATCTTAACTCCTACAGTACTCCTCATGCATGACATTGTGACTAGTTGACTACAAAACAAGTTGTTTCACACGACGTACGTTTCGCCGTATGGTTCGTGACGGCTCATCAGGTGTGCAATTTGAAACTCGGGTATTCATTGTATTGAGCCAGTCACGAACCATACGGCGAAACGTACGTCGTGTGAAACAACTTGTTTTGTAGTCAACTAGTCCATCACAATGTCATGCATGAGGAGTACTGTAGGAGTTTAGATTTCGGCTTGTACAATTCGTTCTCGCAAAGCTCCCCCCCCCCCCTTCTTAACTTATCTTTGATATTTTTGACCCACCCACATTCTTTGTTCCGTTGGGACTGTAGCTTGTGCTCGTTTTCGTTGCGCTTGCCTTCCCCTCTTTGGTCTTTCCATAACCTTGAACCTTCCAAGTTGGAAGGCTGTCGGTTAGCGCTACGGAAATGTGTTGAAGCTAGGTGTCAGGACGTCGAATGTCTCAGTACTCTGTCAGTTTTGTGCCTAGTTGTTGCACTTTCTGACTGTATAATAGTATCTAGTTACAGTGGTGGAGAGTTACTCTTAACTCGTTTCCATATGTCCTTTTCCTTTCTACTTATAATATTATTATAACTACTTGAAGGATTATTATTGATGTGGACTCTACACAGCAGGATCTGCGTTCCACGGTCCGGCCCTGCGCCTGCGTCTGCTACGAAACATCGTTAGTATTCACTGCATACATGTACATGCTGGTTCGGGTCGGATTGGCGATCATGCCGATTGCACAACAGTAAAAATGACTAACCGGACTTTTGAAGGTACAGTCCATGAAAACGTGCTTGCATTTCTATTATTTTTGTGGTTATGACTGTTTGACCTGACCTCCTGGCAGGAGTGCATTCATCCATGCAGCAAAATGGAGGAAGGGTGATAAGACAACCACAGTTCTGAAGCAGTTCGGCATACCGGTATCCCCACGCGCCCGAGCTGCTTGGAAAGTCTGTGACTATCATATGAATACACCTCCCTCGCTGCCCACCAAGACCAACACCACGACGGACTATGCAACCCACTATACAACCCACGCTCAACCTCGGACAATAGAAAACTCATCCATGTCATGACTCGACTAAAAACCCTCCGATAGTTACATGTAATTCATACCAATACCATGCTTCTTTCTCCCTCTTCTCGAACAACCAGTTAGTTATGTCATCAAGATTTGGCAGCTTGAGGTCCCAGGGGCGTCAATCACCCACGTGCTGTCGACATGTCACTGTCGGAAAGCGCCCAAGCCGCGAAGGTTGCTGATGGGTAAGCGGGTCAGCCCCTTCCTATAAAAGCTCCAGCAAAGTCGGAGTGGATCCAGCAGATGCGACCAATCCTCACTGGTACCGTTCAACTACTTACTTCTACTTCGCTCTCACTGTCGCCAATTCTCCTTCAAGATCCAAGTAGTGTATTTTGCCCCGTGTCTTGAATATAATAATCTGTATTTTGTGTGTACGTGTGTGCGTGCATTGGCCACCATTCCGGAAAATCTGAAGCACAGCGCCAGCCAGAAGTAGCCACGGTGCTGCCCTCCTACTCCTGGTCGGACTCCGGAGAAACGCGCAATGGCCGCCAGAGCGGTGCTCCTCGTACCGCTACTGCTGCTATGCTCAGTAGCCGTGCCCACGTTAGCCCTAAGCAGTCAGCTTGCGGGGCTCTGGGACCTATTCTCTAAGTCCCCCGACTCGGGCAAGACGTTCAAGATCCTCCCCGGCAATGGTTCAGGGGTGGTGCAAGAGGAATTCAGCGGAGAAGGCTCTGAGTCCATCTTGGTGTCGTCTTTCAGCGAACCGTCCTCCATTCTCAGTAATCCGGTACAGCTGCGCCTGGCCATCGACGTAGAGGTGAGACATTACATCAATACATGTATGTAGCACGATTACTACTAGACTATGGCGATCATAGGTTGTGATTTTGGTTTAATTAAGGGGACACTGAGTACTGTTCACACGTGGAATCAATACTAGTACGGTACAAGTACAAAATTAGTACATGACTGGTAAATAGTCATGTAGCAAAGCGAAGTACTAGTAGTTGCATGGATGTACAGGGGGAAGGTTTTCTTCGGAGGTTGGCAACTGAATACAAAGCACAATCGCATGTCTAATTAATTGTCTATGCTATGACAACCATGGTCACGACCATCCTGAATGGTGCCAAAATATCAATTACCAGGTAGGCTGACCCGTTGCTCAAAAAGGTCATGCTGTATCTGTGAATATTTTGGTGATGAATGGGCACTTGGTCCATGGGCTGGAGTGATGCAATCCGAGTTTCGTGGCAGACAAGTCAGGGCCAGGACTTTAGAAGTTAGAGTTAGACTTAGAGGCACCCAGTCACTCAAGCCCCCACTAACATGATCATGTTGCCTTCTAAATCATGTGGCCTTTGAAGTTCTGGGCATACATGCAGTGAATGCACCGGCCGCTTATCCGATGCTGATGGTGGCAATTGTTTAGACAGACAAGCTATCTTTTTTTTAATAGTCGCGACAGCGCTAACCCTCGGCCTCGAGTCGCACGTGCGTTTCAAGTCCTTACTTTGCGTCGCACTATTTTAACGACAGTGGGCCTTGACAGGAGTTGTCATGAGAAGTACGGCGCCTGGACATGTTGTCTCGCGTTCATTCACTCTCTACCTCTGGTGAATGGCGGCTCCAGTCAAGCCTAAGTGATGTTGACGGCTCAGTGACAGGTCACCTTTGTCTAGACTGACTGCATGGTCGACTGTACCACGCATTTACGGACAAGTACCCGTAGTTCTACGTCCTTCACTGGACCATAGACTTTATTAATTTTTAGACGTCTTGGTCCATATTGCTTGGACCTGAGTGTCATCGTGGCATCTTGACCATGGCCATAATGCACAATGGTCCACCTTGTACCCCTACGTCCTTGACACTGCACTCCCCAGTACCGACCGGTACCCGTTCAATCGCTCATGCAGATTAGGCATTGGCGGATAATGCTCGAAAAGGTGGCAGATTCTGCTCGAAAAGCAGTGAAATTGGCAGAACCATACAAACCTTATGGCGGGTAATTTCTCGAATTCTGCTCCATTTCTTTATCCACATACCAAACATGCATGAAACTTACCAGAAAAAGTACCGAATTCTGCCAATTTTTCTGCCGGCATTGTCCGCATATGCCTAGATGTACATGCAGTTCAACTCACCCACCGACACGGCGACAGCCATGTCATACGCTGTGGGCTTGCATAGAACCTGCACAATCATGTACAGCGCCTGACTAGACCAAAGTCAAAGACCACTCACGTACCAGTCTACGATAGCAGTATCTGCTGGCACGGCCGCGGCCCCTGGCCGCGCATGCCGACAAGAAAGTAACCATCTGCCAATGTCAATCGCATATGCGCATGTCATGGTTGCGGTCTCGCTGAAATGATCGCGAGCGCACTCCTGGCGTCATGCTTGCAAGTAGAGTATGCAACACAATCACAATTCTGTCGCGGTCGGACTTGCACACATCTTGTTGTGCATTGTGCAATGACTAGGTATTTTAGTAGTAGTAGTAGTAGGTAAACAAACTTACTTTTATGGTCGCTCCACATTATAGTATAGTCTGGGTACCGGTATGTACATTATGACGCTGGATCGATCACCCTGCGGTAGGTACTCTGCAATCTGGCCGTCGCGTGATCGCGCAAACACACTATTAGTATTATCCCAGCATATCCCGACCAGATGGCAATAATAGACGTGCAGATGTCCAACAGAATAAGCTGACAGCCAGCACCGTATGTACTTTTGCTGTAGTGTATTGTTTCCCCGATCTTGTTGTATTCATGAAGAATTTTGTCAGGGTCAACGACTCGACTACATTCCTCGTGCGTAACACCAGTATTACGCAAACAGCTGAATGGCTATCCGTTCACAACATGCCGGCGCCTCTAGTAAAAGTCTAACAAGTTACATACATGTAGATAGAGGTCGATGTAAGAACAAAACGCACAAACAGTTACGTGAACTACTTCGAGTGTCAGCTAAGAAGACTCTTGATTGTGCCTGGACATGCGTGCCCACCACTCCGCGTTACCATGGTTACCACGGCAATGGACCCCTAGGCCCTTCTTTGGTAACACAACCAGAACCACTGACAAGTGACAGTCCGTCTGCTAGTGCTAGTGACACAGTGTAGTGGCGAGAGTGGGTTGGAACATCTCAAAACCAAGTGTTCGTAAAGCGGGCCGGGGGGGGGGGGGGGGCTTGTTACTAATGTTAGCTGCGCACCCATGCTTGGATGGACTGGTACATGGTAGATCTACAAAGACTACATGGCAAGCCCTGAAATTTGAAAAGGCAAAAATAAATCCCACGCTGAGACTGAGTGTGAGAAACACATTTCCATCTTCGGGCGTGTAGGATCGAAGTTCTGTTCTGCAGAGAATGAACTTTGAATCAAGCGAACTTGCTGTACAGTGTATGGCACCGTGGCTCTGTCAGATTATACTACCATGGAGCCTGTGGAGGGATAATCTCTGACTAGAAAACCCAACATCGGATAGTGTATTTGATAATCAGCAGTCCATAGAACACAGCGCGCTATTCGGCGCAAGGGGACTGTGTACTCGCCAACTCCCTGAGCAGAAATCGTGCCAAGAAGAACATTCCACATGGGTGGTTCGGATTGCGCCTGCTAGCTGGAAGTGGAGCGCTCGCTTCTGTGTTGACATTGAGAATACTACCGTGCACGACTCAAACGCGGGGAAACCGGATCAAATCATGACTAACTCTTGTTTGTCATTGCCTTGGAGCTTTGTCGGATTGTCCACCTACTACCTAGCATTGCGGCTATCCGGCCCCAGAATGTGATATGCGATAAAATTCGACGAGATATCGCACATGTAAAAGTATCTGCATTGCTTTTCATAGGGGCCACTGAAGTACAATAGTAAACAAAGTTAGTTCAACAAACTAATTACTTGTACCATGCTGTACTGTTATGTAACTATACAATCATGTAAGTAGCTCCCTGTATATCCCGTAGTCAAAAGCAAAATTAGTGACATTTGTGCATGGTATGTGATTTCAGGAGTTGGCTGCAACTGGATTGCGAGCCGCTTCTAGCTTTGAGGTCTGTTTCGTTGTTGAAACCTTCTGCTTTTTTTGCACTTGCCTTTCTCTTGCGTTATTGCAGGCTACCGTTGCATTCCAGTGCAGCGAGTCGGAACAGGAGCTATTCGTTGTGTCTTATATCAGCGGGCCATCACCGGACACAGAGCTCGGATTCGACAATGCCACCAACACGGTGCATTTCAACATGGTAAGAGTAGGGACTGTGAAGGTGGTCGAGCATGCGGACAGAACATAGCGTTATGCATGGTATTGTGTGTGTTTCTGGTTCGGTGTTCCTTTGATCGCCTCTCTAGTGACTACAGTTCCCGAGTACAGAAAGATCTTCCCGAAGTATTTGCCGCCTGTAGATGGGGGCCGTATGAAAACTTGCGCAGGATTGCTTATAGACGGGTCTGCACTGAGCGGACCAACACTGTGTCACGTTTGGGGTATTGTCGACACTGGGATCCCGCAAGGGGTGGAATGGACCTGATGGAGTCGTTTGCGATGTGGATGGATAATCACTTGCCGCTTCAAAGTCAATTACCTTGTTGAAAAGTCATACAAGACATTGCCAATTAGCACATTGTACTGTGCTGAGAGTGTTGTTTATAAACTGGTGTTGTCCGTGTCCAGCACGAGAAGAACACGTCATCAGAGTTTCTTGCGAGCAGTACCAGCGCCACCATCACCGTGCACATCTCACCCGGACTCCTTGCCCGCGGCTCAGCCGTTGTGCTCAGCCACCCCCAGGCTAAGCTAGCCGAGAGCAAGCAGCAGGGCGACACTACGGCCTGCGACTTCAGCGCCATCGTGTCCGCCCGATCGGCCGCCGCCACCAGCAACCTGTGCCTGGAGAGGGAGACGGCGTGCGAACACCACTGTGTTGCCGAGACGGGCGAATGCGCTTGTCGAATGGGCTACGCCGTGCATGCCACACAGCCATCAAAATGCCTTGGTAAGGATGAAAACGGTCCTGGATTAGTGCTAGGGTATTTCCTGACATTTAGAAGTTTAACTACTCGTGAACGAGTGCAGAATGGCTCGTTTTGTACCCGTACTCTGGCTGAATTAACCGGGGTTGTGAAGAACAGCATGATGAATAATAACCCATTGTGCTGGTGCTTGCTGAATTTGCTTCCGTTTCATGTTGTTTCTTATATCGTGCAGCAACGCACACCGTGTCAGTGACCATCCCGGGAGCAAGCAAGTCCATCCATGCGTACGGCGTTCCACACGCGGACTTTGAAGCACTTCTGGCGTCGCAGTTCAACGGCATGATTGGCGGCGGCGGTGTTCACCGCGTCAGCATGAAGCACGACACCGTCAACATCTCCACGGTGGAGACGGCCACCGAGTCGGCCGTCGACGTAGCGCACCGGCTGCGCAGGTCTCTGAGCATCCAGGACCAGGACACGTCCATTGCCGGCTTGCAGCTGACCAGACTGACGGCAATCCGTCTGGTCGCGCCCGACGGCTTGTCCAGCAGAGGCAAGCGCCAGGCATCATGCCAGCAGCTTGGACAGGTCCTCTCACAGTACCTCACTGGATTCGATCTATCCGCGCTCATCGTAAGATTCTCATACAGCATACGTCATGGCTTGTATGTGTGTCCGTACTGTCACACATTGCTGCACACAAGAATGCTCCCAGACTTGATGGTGACGTTTGGTCGTTTACAGCAGCATTCGGGCAACCCGTTCCTATCGAAGTAAACATGCCACTCTAAAAGTGAATGTATTCTCTGAAAAGAATTATCGAATAACAGCTCTGGCGTCACCCCGTTTGGCAATGTATTAAATATTATGTATGCGTTTGCTGCTCTCCGTTTTGTGTGAATGCAGCTTCCCACCGACCTTGACCTGGCATCGTTGTGCCCAACCACCGCCGACATTGTCAGCGCTATTGGCACGGTGACCATTCCGATTCCAGTACCCAACGCCGTTGCCAGTACCTTGCTGCCAGATCGGCTTGTGCTGCAGGATACCGTGCTGACACTGACTGCACAGCTGGTTGATCGGTCAGTCACGTTGACCGCCGCCACCAACTGGATTGTCGGCAGCACCCCGGTGGCGATTACAATCACCTTCGATGTCAATGCCGGTACTGCAGTGGTGACCGGGGACGCACAGGGCCTCAGCGTTGCTGACATCTTCTCCCTGCTCTCGCCCAGCCTGGCCACAACAGCCGGTCTGGACGGAGTGGCGGCTGACGAAGTCGGATTTGAGCTCGTATTCGGCAGGAACACGCCAACAACATTCTACTTCCGCCTCCTGATTCAGTCTGCCCAGAATCTAGCCAGAAATCTGATCGGCACAGCGGGACTACCCGTAGCCGACCTCCAAAGTGCGCTAGAAGCTGCCAACCTGGACTCGTTCGACATTACTAACGTGGAGTTTCTAGTGACCAATGAGGGAGGCCGCCTGTGCATCAAAGTCAGCGGCAATCCAGTGCTTCCCGCCTTTGAGGGGGTACCAATGTCTGCGGAAATCAAGGCTATTGATGTTGGCTGGCCTAATCGCAGTGTGTCATTCTCATTTTTGGTTAGTAGAATAAATAGTTGATGTGTGCTTTTACTGCAATTGGCGTGTTTTATGCCATAACCTTCCATCACATTCATGAGCACAGACATCTTCTGGAAGACTTTATGCTGATTAGACTTGAGGTCATGGAGTTGACTGTTTGCTTTTAGCCTGTAGAAACATCTCCCTCTAGGTTTTGGCAATGTCCTGACTCAAACTGCGTGCTTGACCGTGTGCTTGTGGGTGTAAATGTGTATCCGTGTGTGTGTGTGTGTGTGTGTGTGTGTGTGTGTGTGTGTGTGTGCGTGTGCTTCTGGTGGCTTTGATAGGTGGACGGCAGCATCAACGTTGCAACAGCAATCAAGGGATTTATCCCTACCCTGGACCTGACTGGAGTGCCCGGCATCTCATCGCTCCAGCTCCCTGAGTTTGCCATGTCCTTCCGCAGGCCCAGAATCGGACTGCCAGCCCTGCCGCCTCTTCCCAACTTCCGAGTGCCGAACATCAGACTGCCATCACCGAAGCTGTCGATACCTCGCCTGCAGCTTCCAGGTATCAATTTCAATGCAAACTTCCAGCCACAGCTGCCCAGCTTGCCAGACCTGTTCTCCATTTCTGCTGGCATTGGAGTAGGGCCGCTCTGCCTGAATCTCAAGAATGAAGCTGATGGATCTGCAGCAAGTCTGACAGCAGTTCTTCAGGTGATCTTCCCTTCCCTGGACATTAGCAGCCTGGGCATTCCAGACACCTTCCAGAACCTACTAAGCGTGGAAGTGGAAGAGCTTTGCTACAACTCGACGTTGAGGACATTCACAGCAGCACTGCGCTACCCGGGCACTATTGAGATGGTGCCTAGCAAACCTGGCTATGTCTCACTCACCAACACAATGGTCAGAGTGGTTGTGGACGCTAGCAGGCGACCAGTCCGCTTTGACTTCTCGGCCGCGTCTGAAGCCAGCCTGGGAACGTTCCCTCTGCAGGTTTCCTTTAAACGCGATCGCTCAGGTTCATTCATGTTCTCCGCCACACCTGTCCAAGATACGATTACCAGCAGAGACATTGTCAGCTCGTTCGGCAGTGCTGGCAGTGACCTAGCTAGTGCGCTGGACGATCTGCAGCTGTCTGACGTAACCCTGTCCAACCTCCTCATTACCGCATTCAACCGCCCAGATCTCACGCTGCGCTTCACAGCTACGGTGTCCTACCGAGACTTGCCGTCAGTGACATTTGAGCTGGTCCTGAGTAAGCCGTTCACGTCGCAATCTCTACTTGCCCTGGGAATCCGGACTACATCAGCAACGCTTGCCAATGTTGTCAAGTCAGTGATTCCAAGTGCCGACATTTCTGATCTGCCCTTCGTCGGTGACTTCACAGTGCCGGCAGTGGGTGTCTTGCTGTCATCTAGAAATGTTCCTGAAATCCGCACCCTACCATTCGTCAACGCGGATCTCTCGACGCTTGCCAGCCGTGTGAGCAACGCCAGAATCTCCTTGCTCTTCCCTGTGACGTTCCCTCGTGTGGGACGCAAGGACTTCGTAGCAGCATTCCGTGGGCTCAGCTTTGACTTCCAGGTAACTATTCTTAAAGTGGCCTGTGCCAATAACCATGAATTGTGTGTCGGGCAATTGAATTACTTTGAATACATTTTAGATCGTAATACAGTCAGAGAGTGCGATAACAAGGCACATCATTAATTTTAAAAAAAAATAACAATTAGTTTTTTCATAGTTAATACTGTGTAAGTGAGACGCTAGGGTTAGGTCTGCCTATGAAGGAAAAAACTCTTCCACTACATTGTGGTGGTCTGTATGTTTACATTTGAAGTTGTGTGAAGTGCTCAGTTATGTAGGAGTTGCATTTTGATAGAAAGTATGTTTTCGCAGTATAGAGTATTTATTTGTAGAGCTTGTGTCGATACAGATTCCTAGCTACCTTTGCCTGAGTTTCAACTCGTGTCAGCAGGAGTACCAGAAAGAGTAGTTAATGTGGTGTTGCATGTCTTTAGCAGTCGTTATAATCAAGTCTTCCAATGCGTTGTCATTTTCTCCTCTGCAGCCTCCAGATGATGAAACGAGTCTCCTGGATCTGGCACAGCTCGCTCTGCCTGGTGTTAACCTGGGCGAACTCTCGCCACCAGAGGGTCTGCCAGGACTGGACAATGTCTTCATCGACCGTCTCTTTGTGGACGTTCCAGGCAAAATGTTCTGCATTGAAGCGCGCGTTGCCGGTATCACATTCGCTGTCATTCCAAACGCTCTGTCCATGGGAAATATCAAGTTCCTCCTGTGCCTGGAGAAGGATGGACGCACTACTCGCCGTAACTTCATGGTGGAGGGTGACATCACACTGGGGCAAGTCACATCGACCATTACCTTGCAGCAAAACGGAAACTTGCTGGAGGCGTCAAGTACCATCAGCCAGCGTTTAACCATCAGCGACATCCTCACCAGCTTCGGCGCTTCGTTCATTCCTGGCGGTGACGAACTGTCCAGAATCTTGCAGCAGAATGGATTCAACAGCTTTGGAATCAGTAACACTGTCATTGTTGTCAAGCGCCGAACCGGCGGTCCGACCAACGTGCTCCTGAGCAGCACAGCAGCTATACAAGAGTTAAGTGCAGACATTGAGGTATTGTTCACCGGCCTCGGCACACCCAACAAGAAATCGGTCGCCGTCCTGGCCTTGCCAAGCATCTCATTGCCCCGTATAGTGGACATGCTGAGCGGTCTAGACCTCTCCGGTCTGCCATTCTTTGGTGATCTTGAAATACCGGCCACCACCGTTACCATTTCAAACGCTGACATAACCAGTCTACCCGACGGCTTAGCCTTCACCAATACGGCCGTGAGTGGTGCTAGGTTTGCCAGAGGTGCCGCTCTGAGCTTCCTACAGAACATCGGTGGTCAGCTCAAGACGTTCAAGACCACACTGCGTCCTGACAGCTTTAACATCACCCTAGATGAATTCCCAACCCTGCACGAGGCTCTGGCGCTCATTTTCCCAGGCGTGCAGAATCTGGACATCTATAGGTCACTGCCGAATGTTGTCCCCGGTGTGTTTGACCTGCGTGTGAATCGCATTGCATACAACAAGCAGGCTGGCAGTCTAGCTGTGGAGGCGTCGCTGGACTCATTCGTATTGATCCCGAACCTGTTGGAAATCTCGACATCAACTGTGAAAGCGTCCATCACAAAGCGTCCGGCTGGCAGCCCAAGACAGGCAGCACCGTCAAGCTCTCAGATTAAACTGTCAATCGAAGGAACTGTTACCTTGTTTGGCCTGAATCTCAACCTGAACATCAACTATAACCAGGCAACGAATGCATTCGGAATTCGCATCACATCACCGTCAGGAGAAGTTAAGTTTGATAAGTTGTTTGATTTGATCGACTCAGCAGCTAATGATCTCACAAACCCTGCCGTTGCTGCATTGCAGCTGAAGCAGTCATCCATCCGCGACCCGCTGTTCGAAGTGAACACCAAGTCTGGCAATGTTGCATTCCGCATCAGGGGAACACCGACGATGACCGGATTCGGCCTGTTCACTGTCGAAGCTCTTGCAAACACGTCTCCACGCCAGTTTATTCTAACACTGAACGCAAAGCAGTTCAGCATGGCTAAGATGCTGGAGGTGCTGACTGGACTCGACCTGAGCGGCATCCCATTCCTCGGACTTCTCCGCGGCCCGTCCAACATCGGAATCACGCTGAGCGCTACCAACGTACCGCGCATACCGTTCCCTATCACTTCCTACCCGCTGAACGAGACCACCAGTATCGATCGCGGCCTGGGCTTCACCGTAGCCTTCAGGCTACCAGCCGACTGTGCCAGTGACCCAATCTGCAACTTCTTCCGCCTCATTCTCGGCGACCAGAGCATCATCTTCCGCGTGACCGGTATCAATGGCCCACAGGCCACAATTGCGTATCGTCTACCCGCACAGCTGTCCCTGGGACCTGTCAAGTTGTACAATGTTGACTTTGGATTCTCAGTGAGCGCTACCGCACCACCAACTGTGGGCCTTACGAACATTGAACTGGACGTACCGGTACCTAGCCCAGCTGAAGGACAGGAGCCATTGAAATTCAGAGGAAAGCTGCTGATTGATCCCAGCAGTAATGTCGAGGCGGCGCTTCAGATGATTGGCATCTATGAGAACGCCTTTGGAATCCCAGTGTTCTCGTTCGGAAACGTCGACCTTGGCTTCAGAACCAACATCGCCTGCCCTATCTGTGTGAGCCAGCTGAGATTCGGAGGAGAGGTAGCTCTGGGCCGGAGATGTTACCGTGGAAACAGAGACAACTGCGTCATCGCTCAGTGCATCTTCAACATAGACGCTGTAGACGTCAAGAACAACTATTTCTACTTTGCCGTGAACCGCCTGAGCTATCGTCATATTCTGACGGCTGTTGGTATTCCCGATAACCCCGGACTGGTGCTGCTCGATGCAGTGGAGATACGCGATGTCGAATCGTCCTATTCGTCCATTGATCGCAACATCCCATCTGGCATCCTACCAGGCGGCAAGACAATCAAAGCTGGCCTGGTCTTCAAGGGCATCTTCAACATTCTCTTCTTGGTCAACGTCAAGGTCGATGTTGCTGTGGAGCTTCTGTTTGGCGTACCCAAGTCTGTGAATGCCCTGGTGGAAGTTGCCCCGATCAACCTCGGAGTACTGCAGGTCAGCGCTGCCAGTGACTCGCGTAAGGGAGCCAAGTTCGAGCTTAAAGCCACGGTTTTACCCCCTTCCTTCTTCGTGGAGATCGATGGCCGCATTGTCATCAGCGCCCTGAGATTCTCTGCGTCTGCACTGATCAAAATTGACAATAATGGGCTGTTCATACGGCTGGCCGGACCCATCTTTGGCCTGCCATCCACGTTCGAGCTCAAAGCACAGTTTGCAGACATCCGCAACCCCAAGTCATTCACCAACTTTGGGATTAACGGCTGCTTTAGCACACTGGGTGCCCGTGTTGTCCAAGGAGTGAAAGCAGAGCTGCAAAAAGCAAGCAACGGACTGCGGCAAGGTCTTGACGCCGCTACTTCAGCTCTAGGCGAAGCAGACCGTGCCGTGAGCCAAGCAGTTGGCACGCTCAACATTAAAGGTTCAGCGGAGAGATCGGCCAGGGCTGGGCTGGACAGTGCCCAGAACGCCCTGAACAGAGCCCGGGACACGGTCAGAGGTCTGTGCAGCATCCGCGACTGCAACCGTAGGACACGCGTGCCGAAGCCTTGCATCGTGCAGAGGTGCAGCTGCGCGATACCCTACCCGTGCTGCAGAAGGTGGCGTTGCTCGACGTGCTGCAGGACCGTGTGCGTTCCAACGCCGGGCTTCTGCGGAACGCACGAGATCACCGTAGTCGACCCGGCGTGTGTCACCGCGAACGGGCTATGCGAGGGTGTGCGCCATACCGCCTACGTAGCTCTCAGAGCAGCGGAAGGAACTCTAAACGCAGCTAAAGCCACTGTCAGCGCCGCGGCTGAGGCTACTGCCGTGGCAACCAGAGCCGTGGCAAGCGCTAGAGTACTGTCGACTGCAGCTAAAGGTGTGCAGACAGCAGCACAGGCCAGCTTTAGCGCCATCACCAGCGCAATTTCTGGTATCCTGAATGCTTTCAGAATCAACGGCATATGCTTCGATGTGACGGTAAATAGTGTCGGTGGCGGCAGCATTGGAGTGTCAATGGACTTGGTAGCAGCTGGAACGAGACATCAATTCAGCGAGACTATCAACTTGAATGACATCGCCGCATTCGCCAGCAAGATGGCACGGCGCTTCTACGGAAACTTCTTTTAATCTGCTCCGGACGTCCTACTGACAGCAACCTTCCAATGGCCCCCGTTTCTCGAAAGGACATTCCTGCAGAAGGAGTTTCCTACATACAAGTATGCACACATACCTTACACCCGTGGCTAGAGTTTTCGTTCTTTATAATTTTCGGAGTATTCAAATTTCAAAATTTAGTTACCAAATTCTCCGCACCCGATCTGTGAGATTTCCAAATTATGATGGATATGTACCGGTACATACCGAAACAGCCTGTCGTCTACAGCATGTTGGTACCGGTACATATAATATATTTGGTGCATATGCTGCTTGTTCTGTGCCGCTAAAGCCATACTGCGTTTGCATCTAGAATTCTAACCTCACACTCTGCCCTCGTTCTCAGCCTCGCCGTAGCACCCTGCACATTCATGAGAGACTATTCTTCACTGAGATACTACAGCTGCTGTTGCTCAACATTAATACCGACCTCTGTATACTTGTGCAATTTTAGGGAATTGAGCAGACACTCTTTTAAAGGTGATGTCAACAATATTATGTGTTGGTGTTTGACAATGTCTACAATAAAATAATAGAACCAAACTTCAGTACGAGTCAAGCAGTGTGTGAATCCAATTCACCGTGTCATCATGGATTCCTACCCAGTGTGTTGCTTATAGTTGCCTATAAGTGCTATAACTTATACAGTCAACTTCGTTTATAACGAAATTCGGTGGGGCATCAAAAAAGTGTCCTTATTCGCGAAGTGTCGTTATAGCCGAAGTCTCAGTACATACATTATTATAATTACAGTTGGAAGAGGCTTTGCTCGGGGCATGGAAATGCTGTCGTTATTCGCGAATTGTCGTTATATCCGCAGTCGTTATTAGCCAAGTTGACTGTATAACTATAAGGTCTACCCGGCATGCGTGTACTCGTACGTACTGTAGTGTATGTCCTGACTGGGAGTCATGTACATGGTATATTAGTAAAGAAACCTTGTGAGTCATGTACATGTAGTGCAATTGCGCAACAACACTGGTGCTGATGTCAGCCGTGACGTGCTTGACTGATCATAACCAGGGAGAAGTAAAATACCGGTATTTTGCTACTCCCTGGTCACGACTAGACTGGCTCATCATGCATGCCAGTCTACGTCTCGTACCGCATGCAAAAAAAACTTTTTTTAAAAGGTCTACAGTCAGACCTTGCCTTAGTAAAGGGGAAGTATACCCTAAAATCAAATTTACACCAGTTGTAGTCTTCTGGATGCTGAGTCGAATGGTCTTGGTCCGAGGAAGCTGCGACGCTCCCTTCCTACTTGAATCCCAATCGAACTCGCGCACTTCCACCGAAACTGGGTGACTGCGCCCTACTAGATGGGGATTTGTATGCAAAATGTCACTAAAAGCGCCATTTCGTTCTTATAAAAGCACGGATGACCGCGATTGGCCCATATGTTGTAGTCTTTTGGACGCTGAGTCGACTGGTCTTGGTCCGAAAAGGCTGCGATGCAGCGTTCCTCCTTTATTCCCAATCGAACATGGTTGAACAAGCGGTCACGTGCTCCTGGGTGCCCAAATCACCTGGTCACCGCGCCAGCAGGCGACAACTTTCACACCAAGGTTCAACTCGAGTGACAGGACTGCACCCAAAAAAGGTCAAACAGGCTAGTAAGTTGTACCCTGCAGGCACGGTGACCAGGTGACTGGCGTACGCAGGAGCACGTGACCGCTTGTTCAACCATGTTCGATTGGGAATAAAGGAGGAACGCTGCATCGCAGCCTTTTCGGACCAAAACCAGTCGACTCAGCGTCCAAAAGACTACAACATATGGGCCAATCACGGTCATCCGTGCTTTTATAAGAACGAAATGGCGCTTTTAGTGACATTTTGCATACATATCCCAATCTAGTAGGGCGCAGTCACCCAGTTTCGGTGGAAGTGCGTGAGTTCGATTGGGATTCAAGTAGGAAGGGAGTGTCTCAGCTTCCTCGGACCACGACCATTCGACTCAGCACCCCGAAGACTACAACTGGTGAAATTTTAATTTTTGCCTTAACTTCCCCTTTAACCGCACACATCCGTTCCCCACAAAAAATATCCGGATAGGCGAGGGAACCGGATAACCAGAGAAAAAGGTGAAAAATCATGCTTTTTACTCCCACATGCAGATAGGATGCAGATAACCTCGGATTGCTTCACCAATTTCAGTAAAATGCCTCTAATCCAGGCACGTCTGTCTAGAGTACGGAATTGGCTTTTCACCCCAAAACGCCCCCAAAACTATTGATTGGCATAAGATATGTTTACTTGCATGCAGTAAGTACATCACATGGCCATGTACATTTTGACTTACGGATCTAGTTACGGGCAGTGCTCGGTCCCAATCTGCCCGGATTAGGGGAGTGCTCGGTCCCAACCTGCCCGGATTAGGGCAGTGCTCGGTCCCAACCTGCCCGGATTAGGGGACTGCTCGGTCCCAATCTGCCCGGATTAGGGCAGTGCTCGGTCCCAATCTGCCTGGATTAGGACAGTGCTCGGCCCCAACCTGCCCGGATTAGGGCAGTGCTCGGTACCAATCTGCCCGGATTAGGGGAGTGCTCGGTCCCAATCTGCCCGGATTAGGGCAGTGCTCGGTCCCAATCTGCCCGGATTAGGGGAGTGCTCGGTCCCAATCTGCCCGGATTAGGGCAGTGCTCGGTCCCAATCTGCCCGGATTAGGGGACTGCTCGGTCCCAATCTGCCCGGATTAGGGCAGTGCTCGGTCCCAATCTACCCGGATTAGGGGACTGCTCGGTCCCAATCTGCCCGGATTAGGGGAGTGCCCGGTCCCAATCTGCCCGGATTAGGGGACTGCTCGGTCCCAATCCGCCCGGATTAGGGCAGTGCTCGGTCCCAATCTGCCCGGATTAGGGGACTGCTCGGTACCAATCTGCCCGGATTAGGGGAGTGCTCGGTCCCAATCTGCCCGGATTAGGGCAGTGCTCGGTCCCAATCTGCCCGGATTAGGGGAGTGCTCGGTCCCAATCTGCCCAGATTAGGGCAGTGCTCGGTCCCAATCTGCCCGGATTAGGGGAGTGCTCGGTCCCAATCTGCCCGGATTAGGGGAGTGCTCGGTCCCAATCTGCCCGGATTAGGGGAGTGCTCGGTCCCAATCTGCCCGGATTAGGGGAGTGCTCGGTCCCAATCTGCCCGGATTAGGGGAGTGCTTGGTCCCAATCTGCCCGGATTAGGGGAGTGCTCGGTCCCAATCTGCCCGGATTAGGGGAGTGCTCGGTCCCAATCTGCCCAGATTAGGGCAGTGCTTGGTCCCAATCTGCCCGGATTAGGGCAGTGCTCGGTCCCAATCTGCCCGGATTAGGGCAGTGCTCGGTCCCAATCTGCCCGGATTAGGGGAGTGCTCGGTCCCAATCTGCCCGGATTAGGGGACTGCTCGGTCCCAATCTGCCCGGATTAGGGGACTGCTCGGTCCCAATCTGCCCGGATTAGGGCAGTGCTCGGTCCCAATCTGCCCGGATTAGGGGACTGCTCGGTCCCAATCTGCCCGGATTAGGGCAGTGCTCGGTCCCAATCTGCCCGGATTAGGGGAGTTTTACTGTACATGTACACTGTAGCCGTACAAGCTGGTGCATGTAACACCAGTCTCAAAAGAAATGCCTATTTCTTGCTGTTGATTAGCAGAAGTCAAACAAGTGAATCTCAAAGACAATATAAAGTTGTATAGAGCAATTGAGGCTAAACCATTAGGTGACACATTTATTAGTTAGCTGCAGTAATGGCAAGGTGGCTGGTATCAGCGAAACAGCACGTGTAAGAGTAGAGAACAGTGGAGGCGAATGATTCATGGTTCAGTGCTGCACAGTGCGCTACCAATTTCAGACAGCTTCAAGTGTTCAAGTGGAAGTCACACACATGTCACATTTGCCTAGGCAATCCCGACTTACGCATACAGCCGAAGAAATGATTACTACACTCACACTGTTCCCTACTTGTAACCCCGTATTATTATTATTATTATTATTATTATTATTATTATTATTATTATTGTGGAAGAGAAAAAGACATATGGATACGAGTTAAGAGTAACTCTCCATCACTGTAACATGATACTATCTACAGTCAGAAAGTGCAATAACTAGGCACAAAACTGACAGAGTACTGAAACATTCGACGTCCTGACACCTAGCTTCAACACATCTCCGTAGCGCTAACCGACAGCCTTCCAACTTGGAAGGTTCAAGGTTATGGAAAGACCAAAGAGGGGAAGGCAAGCGCAACGAAAACGAGCAAAAGCTACAGTCCCAACGGAACAAAGAATGTCGATTGTTACTGGACGATGACGAGACCAGTACGATATTTGACAAAGCGGTCTAACTACAATTCGAAGCAGCAAAGCAGCACACCACCCAACTTGGGTGGGTCATAAATATCAAAGATAAGTAAAGAAAGGGAAGCTTTGCGAAAACGAATTGTACAAGCCGAAAGTCAAACTCCTACAGTACTCCTCATGCATGACATTGTGATGGACTAGTTGACTACAAAACAAGTTGTTTCACACGACGTACGTTTCGCCGTATGGTTCGTGACGGCTCATCAGGTGTGCAATTTGAAACTCGGATATTCAGCCATAAATAAATGTGGAAGAGAAAAAGACATATGGATACGAGTTAAGAGTAACTCTCCATCACTGTAACATGATACTATCTACAGTCAGAAAGTGCAATAACTAGGCACAAAACTGACAGAGTACTGAAACATTCGACGTCCTGACACCTAGCTTCAACACATCTCCGTAGCGCTAACCGACAGCCTTCCAACTTGGAAGGTTCAAGGTTATGGAAAGACCAAAGAGGGGAAGGCAAGCGCAACGAAAACGAGCAAAAGCTACAGTCCCAACGGAACAAAGAATGTCGATTGTTACTGGACGATGACGAGACCAGTACGATATTTGACAAAGCGGTCTAACTACAATTCGAAGCAGCAAAGCAGCACACCACCCAACTTGGGTGGGTCATAAATATCAAAGATAAGTAAAGAAAGGGAAGCTTTGCGAAAACGAATTGTACAAGCCGAAAGTCAAACTCCTACAGTACTCCTCATGCATGACATTGTGATGGACTAGTTGACTACAAAACAAGTTGTTTCACACGACGTACGTTTCGCCGTATGGTTTAGTTATTGCACTTTCTGACTGTAGATAGTATCATGTTACAGTGATGGAGAGTTACTCTTAACTCGTATCCATATGTCTTTTTCTCTTCCACATTTATTTATGGCTGAATATCCGAGTTTCAAATTATTATTATTATTTTTTTTTTTTTTTTTTTTTTTTAATTATTATTATTATTATTATTATGTACTATTATGTGAGATGAAATAAAACAGGAAAGGGCACAGGCCCTGATACGTGCAAGGGATAGCAATCAACCTTGCACATGTGTTCTAAATACATGTAAATGTAAATGCAAAACAATTAAAAACAAAAACACAAACAATGAGCAATAACTTCAGGACTGGGCACAAGTCCTAAACCAGTAAAAGGTGCAAGAGATAATAATCAACCTTGCGAGTTCGAGTCAAAGCATGCGGACTCACAACAAAATGGCATCAACGTGAGCAAAGAGGAAGAAGAGAAAGGAAACAGCAAAACAAAAAGCAAAGACAAAGAGAAGAGAGATATTATTATTATTATTATTATTCAAAGGATCAGTCGGGGAAGTGAACTGCCTGAAAAGAGAAAAAAAACACCAGACCCACCAGGACTCGAACCCTGCTTGTCATGAGCAATGCTCTTACCGCTGAGCTATGGGTGTTGTGAGCTGCCTTTGGAGTAAAAAACTTGTCAGCGCCTTCTGGGTTCAGCTTGGTTCCATAGCTCAGTGGTAAGAGCATTGCTCATGATAAGCAGGGTCCCAGGTTCGAGTCCTGGTGGGTCTGGCGTTTTTTCTCTTTTCAGGCAGTTCACTTCCCCGACTGATCCTTTGAATTTGAAGTTCTCCCAATCCTTTCCAAATTATTATTATTATTATTGAAAAGGCGACGAGGAGACAATAACTTTATCAATGCGATTAATAGTATTAGTGAAGCGGACATTACAAAATGATGAATGAGAATACATGTATCTAAAATGGTTGTTCCTAATCGATTTTCTTGAGACTATCATCAGGGAAAATCGTCTCACAATAGAGGCTATACGGAGAAACAAACTACTTATAGGTTATTGGATAGTGGGAAGTATACAAGGTGAGGTGTGAAAAAACTAAAGTGGGAGAGAAAACGAAAGAAATTAGAAGAAAAGATGTGAGAGTGTTCCCGACGGTGTGAGCTACTACATAAGGTGAGTGAAATGAAGGCGTGGAAGCAGGTGAATGTGATAGAGTGAGGAACTGTGAGGTGTAGGTGTATGCGAATGAATACGTGTGTGAATGCTAGGTGAAGAGTCTCAGTTTTGTGACATTTTCTTTCTGAATGCATAGATTAGGATTGTGTTTACGGATGAAAACAGCTTCTAATACCTTAAGTTCACGAAACCTACGAGCACGACACAAAACAGTGAAGCATGAATCATCATACACTGAGCGGCATTGGCTACTAGACAAGAGCTATTCACACACGTATTCATTCGCATACACCTACACCTCACAGTTCCTCACTCTATCACATTCACCTGCTTCCACGCCTTCATTTCACTCACCTTATGTAGTAGCTCACACCGTCGGGAACACTCTCACATCTTTTCTTCTAATTTCTTTCGTCTTCTCTCCCACTTTAGTTTTTTCACACCTCACCTTGTATACTTCCCACTATCCAATAACCTATAAGTAGTTTGTTTCTCCGTATAGCCTCTATTGTGAGACGATTTTCCCTGATGATAGTCTCAAGAAAATCGATTAGGAACAACCATTTTAGATACATGTATTCTCATTCATCATTTTGTAATGTCCGCTTCACTAATACTATTAATCGCATTATTATTATTATTATTATTATTATTTTTCCCGTTTGTCTCTTTCCCTCAAACCAGTTAATATTATTATTATTATTATTTATTCATACCGTATTATCTTAATATAAGCACAGTCTCCAATAATAGAACACCTTGGGGCGGCATTCAAAAAAGAAAGTGCTCAGGCTCCATTATAAGCACGCTGTGTAAATTCATTATCTGTACAGGCGAGAAATCGCTGAAATGTGTGTGTCTGACATGAATTTTGCATGGCAACATGCCTCTGAAATGAGGTTGAAATAATAATGGAACAGTCTCCAATAAAGGAACGTCTCCATTAATAGCACGGGGCGGAGGTACATTGAAAAAATAAAGGACCGTGCTTATATTAGAGATAATACGGTATTTTAATAGGGCAGTCCCCACAGACGTATCACTATGTGTTACCGTATTCTCACTGCTAGAGTTGGAGGGAGAGCCAGGGATTTATGATAATTATAATTATGACATTTCGTGTTTGCAAAATGGCACATCATAATAATTACGATGTGCCATTTTGTAATCATTTTGCTAACACGAAAATTAATGTCACATTGTCGTGCATATATGCATAGACTAAAGATCACAGATACATTGTGACTACAAGCAGCAGCTAGCAGCTGTCCGTTCTCCCCAAACCATGCAGTCGCAATGCGTGTATACCGTAGTCTACATGCTCCATGGGTGACACTACAAAAAATGCTCATCATACAGAAATACTACATGATTGTATTACTGTAGCAATTCACTTCTTACAAGTTACAAAGTCACTGTGTACGAGTACGAGAACTCTTGTTTCGTTACATTCCACAGCAGCAACAATCTGTCAATCAGCTCCAACAAGTAGTAAACCAGTGCAGTAGCTGGTGCGCAAATCTTCCAAGAGTGTAAACTAAACCGTGCCTGAAACACACACTTAGTAGCTATACGTATAATACCGTCAGGTCTTTTTTTTACTTCAGAGTCTAGTCAATCATTGCATCGACTGACTATTATCTGATTTCCTGTTCAAATTTCTAGTTTCAAACTTCTCATCACCATGATCACGTTACACTTCCAACTGATATTCCGTCTTCTTTTCAGCGGCGTCATTCGGTATTTTCCAGTCGAGTCAACTATTACGGACTGTACTTGTTTTGGGAAGCGTCCATGATCCAGCTAGCTGCGGAAGGGTACACTCACACAGTCACAGCGCAAAGCCTGCCAAAGGACAAGGAGGTGTTCAGTTTTGGCCCTTCCACCCACTCACACAGGAGTCATGCTGGGTGTAGATCGTCCAGAGAGCCGGTCATCATTGGATGAGCCAATGCTTGATGTCACAGATCCTGCCGGTGCTTCGAGTATCAGCTCTGCCATAATCGCGGCTAGTGATGGCAGTGAGAAGGCCCGGGGGACAGGGCGACCTGGCCTAAATAGAGTGCTGTTAATTGTGCTAATAGTGATGTCATTGATATCCATTGGTTTAGCAGTAGGCTTGGGGATAGTTGCTACTAAATATGTGAAGAATGCTAGTGGGACGGGGACAGGGCAGCAGCAGCAAGCCACCATTCCGGATAGCTGGTTGCGCATGTTTGCGCTGAGCGATGTCCACCTCAACATTCTCTACTCCGACACTGCATCGGCGTTCGGATACCCACCGTGCCAGAACAAGTCGACCGGACAGAAGTTTGCCAACAGGGCGCCATTCGGCCGCGTGGGCTGTGACTCGCCGCAGGTGCTGTTCGAATCGACGCTGTCCTCAATGGTGGAGGTGGACCGTGCGACAAGAGCCGACGTTATCCTAGTGACCGGGGACAAGAGTGGACATCATCTCTATACATCAGCTGATGGGGCCAATCAACATGGCACCGTTGTGCTAAAAGCACAGGCGCAATTCACGCAAACCCTAGGCCGCTATTTCCCCGGTCGTCGACACATTTTAACAATGGGTAACAACGATGTTCCCTACCATTGGCAAGTGCCGACTATGTCTTGGTATGAAAGCCTGTGGCAATATTGGGCCCCGCTTATCCTTTGCCCCGACTGTGCACAAGGTCGTTTCAGCACCCGTGTGAACGAGGCAGAGTTCAATACCACGTTCTTACGTGGTGGCTACTATAAGGTTAGTCTCCACCAGGCGGTGCACGTTTGTGTGTACATGTGCGTGTGCGTGTGTGTGTGTGTGTGTGTGTGTGTGTGTGTGTGTGCGCGCGCACGTGTGTGTGTCCATATGGTGCAGTGGTATATGCAGTCGATTGGAACAGTCGATTTCCAATAGAGAGGTTGCGGGTTCAATTCCCGACGATTATGGTCGCACACGTCTTTCTTCTCTTTCTCATTCTCCTAGCTCTTCTTTCAGGTTACGTTTGGTTGGTCACATTCCCAAATGGGAATCACTTGGAATCACTCGGAATCATTCTCGCCCGTTTGGTTGGTCAAAAAAGTGCGTTAGGTTGGTCCCGTTCCAGAATGGGAATCGCTGAGAATGATTCTTTTTGGGGAATGATCATTCCACCCCGGCCCCACAGGCTGGAAAGAGCATTCTCATTCCGGAATCAAAAATGATAATGGTTGCCACGAGCCAAACAATGTAGCATCAGGTTCAAGTGCCTCAAATCATGCACTCAGAAGTACCTTGACTCTCTAAAGAAAACTAGAGTGGGGTAAAAGAGAAGAGAGCCGCCGTTCCACACCGACATCATGGAATTGTTATGTCAAGTGGTTCCTAGTTGATTCTGGCGCGTTTGTTTGGTCAGGTGATTCTTACCCATTCCCATTCCAGAATGGTTGTCATTTACATTCTGAAAATGCCCAACCAAACGCAGCCTCTCTCCTGGGTGGTTACCAACAGCCGGAGTATGTGCTGTGGTGTAGTGTGGTGTGTTAAAAGAATAATAATAATAATAATAATAAATGAAAAATAGGGATTCACTGGCCAGAAAAGTCATTTCAACCAGCCGTGTGGTGTAGACCAGGCTAAAATTAGTGGCGGTCTATTCATCAGCCTTGCAAACTGTTGAATGGTGTAATCCCAGCACAAGTTGCTATGTCTAACATAGCTTGTTCGCTATGATCGCTTCAGCGATGGGCAGATGTATGAGTGTGTGTCAGTCTGTGTGTGCGTATGTGCGTATGTGTGCGTGTGTGTGTGTGTGTGTGTGTGTGTGTGTGTGTGTGTGTGTGTGTGTGTGCACATCCAGTGCATTTGCAGATTTGCGTGCTTCTCTTGCGACGGGCGTATACATGGTACATACATGGTGTGTGTGTGTGTGTGTGTGTGTGTGTGTGTGTGTGTGTGTGTGTGTGTGTGTGTGTTGTCTATCTGTGTTTGTGTCATTTCCGTATGCGCATGCATGTGTGTTGTGTGTTCTGAGAGCCCAGTACTATTACACTTACTTAAGTACAACTCCGAGTTTCACGCTCTGGCCGATCCTCTGGCCGATCCTCTGGCCGATCCTCTGGGATGTCAAGTACATGCATAAGTTAG